TGAAGTTCGCAGCCAGTCAAAAGATTCTAAAGCACTATGTATTTTTTTGTCTTAGTAGATTTTTATCGATTAGTCAATTCTTCTTTTTTGATGCTCTCTTTTTTGTTGTTGTTGTTTCAAAATTCCTATTTTTGCTAAAAGAAAAGGGTAGTTTTGATATGGACAGAAAGATGCCATAGAAAATATAAACAATTGAAAAAAAATCAGTTTGCTGATTTGTGACTGTCCTAAGCGAGTACTAAGAGTTAAAACTGATTGCGCAAATCCACTAATGGAATGTTAAAATCAACTCATTTACATTTCCTTTCTGTACCTCCAATGTAACATAGCCCCCAACTATCCAATGTTGCATATGTTTCTTTTTCATTATACTGTGTCAAAAATGCCATGGTGACACAGAATCTGATTATATATCACATTTTACCTCCCTTTTGAAACTCATTTTAAGGCAGTGATAGAGAGTAGAAGGAAAATGAGGATGCTTTTCTACCCGAGACATCTGAAGTAAATACAAATTTCTCCTTCTGTTGTCCTGGCACATATAGACTGAAAAACTGTTCTGTGCCATGTCAATAAGTTGGTATCTATGCTGATACACCACTGGAGCAAGAAGAGGCTGTATTTAAAGATACAGCTATGGACATTTGGCCTTAAAGATAAACAAGATAGAAGAAGGTATCTTGTTTGTGTATTGAATTATTAGTTAAGTTATGGTCTTTCCCGGCTAGTTGTCTCACATACTGCCTTCTCCCAGTCTGAAGTTATGAAAATAAAAGTGTAATTTTGCATGTAATTTTGGATGGTTACTTTCTAGCCATGCCTTGCTGTGTGCTTTCCTGTTTAATTCAGCCATGTGAATCAGAGCCCAGGTCCTTATTAAACTGCCTTTTTGAGTTCTAGAGAAACGCTGCTGATGCTTTATCTGGCACCAAGGATATGCATAGGCCAAAGTCCTCCTCAGAGGTGACAAATGAGCTCTGTGCATGTCACAGGAGAAAAAGGGGAGCAGACAACATGAGACTGAACCACCCAGGAGCTCAAATGAGTTTTTTCCTTCAATTACTGAAGAGGTCAATTTGTTCTTTATTGACCCTTTTTCATCCTAATTTCTTTTTCTTTTGTAATGTATTTAGGAGAATTAAGTGCTCCTAATATGGCTGAATTGACAACATTAGAGATTCAACTGACTTATTTAAGGGCTTATGTTAACCTGAAGGTTATCCTATCCCAAAGCTTTCCTGAGAAACAGTCATGTCTCTTATAATAACTAAATGTAGCTGAAATACTACACTAGAGTCTTGTATTCTACTTTTATAGATACATAATACACATACAATGATACTGTTTATTCATTCTGTTTATTGGCTCCAACATGATTTTTAATGTGTAACATAAAAAAAGACTTTCAAGTTTAATTGCAGTGTCAACACTATCATGCTCATCTTTATCTCTGTCCTCTTTTACTTCGAGACTAGCATTTTCTTATAGGATATCCACACATAGTAAAGCATCCAAACAACTTTTTCACGTCATCTTCAATGAATTCAGAGGATGCAACAGTTTGCATACTCCTCTGCACACATTTTATTACTCCCACTTTCATTCTAAGGCTGAAGTGAATCATGTCATAAATATCTGTCTTGCACTCATGAGTTTGATATACTATTCTCTTCTGAGATCCTCTCTATACTCATAACTTTAAAAACTGGCAAAAAAAAAAAAAAAAAAAAAAAAAAAAAGAGTATTCCATGTAGTATTTTCTTTAGCAAAATTTCAAAATGTTTCAGAAAATCCTGTTCCAAAACAGATGTCTCTCTATCCTCAGGTTTTATTTTTTGATAATCTGGGAATACTATTGTGTACAATAAATGTATAAAGTCAAGCTCAGTGCTGGTTCTAGAACAGACACTGAAGTAAAAGGATCTATGCTAGTTTATATCAACACTTTTATATCTATGCTAGTTTATAGCCCAGTAAACATAGTGCAGAAAGCCTCTATATAATTTTATAATTTTAATACTCCACCTAACTACAGTTGTACCTACAGTTATAACTACTCGTCAAGTACCTTTCTTATTAGTACAGTCTTGTAACGTCACAAACTAAATGCGTATGTAATTGTATGCATCATATTGTGTATGCAGATTGTGGCAGCATTTATTAACTTCAGCATGCTTTGCTGACCACAGAACTCAAGGTGGGTGTATACTGAGAAGACCAAAATTGCTCTTTAAAGTCGACTCTACCACAGTATATCTGTACAATCAACTATCTTTTCTCTGCCTCCTTCCCTCCCCATACATCTTGTAACAATAAACATCTGGGTAGCTCGTTTCATCATTTGTAATTTGTTGATGAGTTCTACTGGGATATGAAAATATACTAGCCACTTTCTAATAAGATGGTCCTTCTACCATCTTCTTTGAATGCTTATGTTTAGTCAATGTATGACAGACAACCATTAGTGTGAGAAGGCCATCAGACTCTTGTGGTCAGAATTGGGTTTTGACTTTAAGCCTGAGACTGAAGTAGCTCTGGAATTTCTTTTCAGCTCAATAGACCAATATTTCTGTAGATTGTTCTCAGCACATTTTTGGCCCTACATACTGGCATGTGGTACAAACTGATTTGTGAGCTTTTTTTTTTGTGTGTGTGTGCTTTGGATGTTGGAGGTCTTGTGAGATCATCTGGTTTTTGTTTTTTTTTTTTCCCCCCTAAGAATCCTGCCATCTTGGGCCAAAACCTCATGGGAATAGTTGTTCTTAGAACATTTTTTTCAATATGAAAACCAGGATGAGAAAAATACGACATTTTTATTTAGTTTTGGATCTGTCCCACAACAAAGAGTAAGAGTTTCTTTAAATATACGTACATTGGTTTTCTTGCTTTCTTTTTATCCCCTCCTCTAGCTTTATGTTCAAAAAAGGACTCTAATTTCAATAGTCACAGTAACATCATATTTGATGATTACTTTATAGCTAGGTATGACTTCTTTCTTTTGATTCATTTATTTTTTAATTAAGAGATGAATGTTAGTTAGGAATTCATGGCACCTGTGCCTGCAAGTGTAACATAGTTTTTGATGCTCCCTACCACCAAGAAGCAAATAACATGGTTCTGTTACTATTATTGTGTTGTTCCTGTTTCTTACATGAGAATGAGAAAAAAAAAAAAAAAAAAACATTCAAAGCTATTGAAGAGAAACAACAGAAAACTGAAAATTCGTCACTTTTGATCAGGCAGCAGAAGCCAATACCACAAGAGATATGATTAGCCAACAGTTTAAATTGTTTTTAAAGAGAATAGATATAGCTAACAAGATTCTTCCAATGTAATTTTATACTAAAAAATATTATTTAGAATAAACGTGGAAACTAAGCCAGTCTCTGAGTATATAAGAGAAAAGGAAATTTTTATTCCTGGGAGATATTTTCTTCTGTGGTGGCTAACAATTTATTGAAGAGCTTTTCCCTTCAAATTAGCCCCTGAAGATGACCATTTTACCTTTTGAGCTTCATTTGATTTCCATGAAACTCAGGTCATACTTATAGTACTGGGTCTAACTCCCCTGGCCCCAGGTAGGTGCCTGTTGACATGGAGGATCTCCTGAAAGACACATTTCCCAACTGATGTTAAAAGCATTCTGAGTAATCAGAATCTGCTTAGGTAGAAGAACAGGAGTACTGTCGCTTGGTTCTTCACTCTGCTCAGTTTCCAGAACCTCTCTACCCCTTGGCTCCAATGGTTGCAGCTTGGGCTGTGTAACAAGCACAAAAGGTAGCTTTCTGTGTCAGGAAATTTGAAGTCTTTCTTTTTAAACTGTAATTACCAACAATATTACCCATTGTTCTGTAATGAGACTTGATATTTTAAACTACAAAGGAGCACATTTAAGATATAAAGCAGCATTGCTGGGCTTTGTATGTTTTTCTTTTAATTCTAGAATTTGTATTTTTTTCAGTTGATTAGAAACCTGAAGGCAGGAACTCATTCTAGATACACAGGTGCATGCAGTATGGACATATCAAAGGGAATTAATCTATAGAGATACAGATAAAAGAAGCAGGAATAATTGTATATAGGCAATGGATAAGAGAGGAGGGAAGACAAAAGGCAAGAAAGAAGTCAAATACAAATAAAAGAGAATATGAAAAGACTATTATATTATGCTAATGCTATGTGAAATTAAAGTACTTTAAGATCCTCGGATGTAAGATACTATGTAAGTATAAAGTATTATATATATATATATATATTTTTTTTTTTTTTTCCTGAAATTTGAATTGAGTTGACACAGTCTGAAAGCAGCTTCAAATTATGATTATATGAGACTATGGACACAATTTCTGGCAGGTAGCATGAATTTCAGTGTATTGCTATATTTTAAAAGGAGCCAGCAGTGTGAAGTGCTATATTATAAACATGTTACATTAGTCTTAATAGTTAATCCAGTATTCATATTCATACTGTGGGCTTTTCTGAGAGAAACAGCTTTCTAGATGCTTTTCATATTTCCAGGAATAAAATTAAAGCATGTTTAAATACTTGTTAGGCACTGTGTGCAGAATTTTGAGTTACTGCATTGTATCAGAACTCAAGAGATTCAGCTGAGAAATAAATTATGTAAACAATGCAATATGTGTGTGCATCTACAGCTGTATATCAATATCACCCATATCTATGTATACAAATATCCTTATCCTTTTCTGTCCGTCTGGAATGTGTTATGCTGGAGATGGTGAACTTCTCAAAAGAAATGCAAGACATGCTTTTAATGTTGCTTCAAAATTCAGCTGCAAACCAAAAAATGGATAAATACGTCATTATATTTTATAAACAATCTGCTTTCTGATGATTATGATGCAACAACTTTTTATTCTTTTTGTTAAAGTTTGACTCTGAATATGTGTGTGGGAAAAAAATTTAGTGAAAGGTATCACTTCAGAGTAACTTATCCCAAGTGAGATTTGTTGCTAACCTGATAACTGTAACCTCTGCAGTTACAGTGAGAAGTCCTTGCTCCAGTGCAGAAGAGGAGTGCAGAGGCTGTGAGGACACCCACCTCTCCCCCTTGGTTTGGAAGGGATCTGTACTGGAGCTCAACGAAGGCCCCATGTTCAGATTGGCAGCAGGTTCAGTTTGGATTTCCTCTCTGCAGCTGCTCCACACTCCACTTGCACCATGTCCAAACATCTGGCTTTAATGTGAATAGATTTCAAGTACTCTTCTCTTTGTCTCTCTCTGTGTATGTATGTATGTATGTAATTATGTGTGTAATCTTTCTAGAAAACTTTATTCTTTCCTATATCTTTCATTTATTTTTAAATTTATATAATTAAGGTATGAGCTATGTGGCTGATAAAGATCATGTTCTCTCCTACCTTCTATTCTGCTTTCAGAATGTGCTCTTATTAGTGTTTATCCTGAAAACAGATTGAGGAAGTAAATATCGCTAGCCATCAATCTTTTTTTTTCACAAGTTATTCTAGTGTTAACTAATGTAATGTTTCTAAGGTGCAGAAACACCAGCTCATAATATCATTTTTACTTTACTATTTTTTATTTATTTATTTATTTATTTTCCAGAAAGAGGAAATAGGTAAAAGTCATTTATGTCACCATATATCTGATTTTTGAACTTTTTCTTGGCAGTTTTTGTATATTTCACGCCATTTATGATGTCCTATGTCTTAAGTAGATTGGGCACAGTATTAAATTTCGTGTGGGAGAATGGGAGAAAAAGCAGCACACAAAACCAGAGGTTAAATAGCTGGTTTGCTTATCACACCTCCCAGTTTGATTATGGTAGGTTCCGGAGACCACAGGTGGAGGATACTGAATTATAGCAAATAAAAGCCTGAAACATAACAAAGCTACCTGAGGGTTTGGCTGCAGTCCCTGTGCAAACTGTGATTAACTGAATACCTGCCCTGGAATGCTGGTTTGGCAAGAGGTTATATGCACATGAATGAATCTGTCTGCATACTTAGACACTGCAGTTAAACTTCTTTCTCACTAAAAAAAAAAAAAAAAAAAAAAAAAAAAAAGGAGGGAAAAGGGATGAGGGGTATTACTATTCCTGAAGTAGCTGAATATAGTTTTGCTCTGCCTGTTTTGATATAATCTCCCTATCCTCACAAGAAAATTGAGGTGATGAGTGTTCTACACTCAGAGAGAATGGGAAAAATGGACAAATCAACCAAGAGCATTTGGCTGCATTGGGGGCAACAAGGTTGTCTTCTTAAAAATCTGGATGCTAGAGACAATTCCTCTCTTGGTGTAAAGTGATGAGAGACAATTAATGTAAATCCATCTGCATGTTAAATATAAAACCAGCTTTTACAGAAGGACCAGTGAGAGCTAAAAAGCCATTTGTGAGTACCTAAGAGTTTGTTGATATGGAAAAACTGACCAGCACAGTGACAATGTTTCTGCTGGAGTTGTCCATTAGGTGAAGACACACGCTTATGCTTGAAGGCCCCTTCAGAAATCAATGCTATAAATTACCTTTCACCCTAATATAAATTAATCCTGGGAGATAGTTGACGGACTTAGGAAGGCTAGACACAAATTATATGTTAGTGTCTATTAGACTGACTTCTATATGGTCTAAAACTGTATCTGGTTGTGTAGGACTCAGTACAGTCACAGGGGAGAAGTCATGGCTTGTTATGAAAGACTTTACATTCTGAATATGTTCTGTTTTTTTACTTTATTTTTTTGATCCTTGACATGTATATTCCATATGTTGCTAACAATTTGGATCCTAGACATTAACCCTACATCTGCAGGGTGAACTGTTGTAGGCAATGCAACAGTGAACCTAAAGCCTTTCTACTCCATTCCCCTTCTCCCAGCAGAGAGGGACAGAGTGTCCTAACACTTTTGTGACAGAGCTGTTCCAGGTAGGAATGTCACAGCAAATGTGTCCTGCACCCAGCAGCAGACTATGGCCCTAATTGTGTCTGGCTTGTGTGATGTAAGATGGCTAGAAGTTTTCTGTGCCTTTTCTTATGTAGACATGCCATGCATGAACATGTAGTGGAGGAACCTCGCCCTTCATTTATAATTGTGCCATGAGCTCATCTGTGCTCTAAAAGAGTTTATTGTCCAAATCTTGTTGGGTTTTCTCCAGGAAAATTTTTCCCCTGTGTGGAGAACTGGCCCCAAACAAACAGCTTTTCCACTCCTACATTTACTTATTTTCTTTCTGACCCTTCCCTTATTTTAATTTTCTTATTTCCTCAACGTTTTCTGCTAACTGCCTTATAAGCTCAATACTTCTCAGCAGCACAGGCAACACTGACCTATTTTTGGCCCATGTCAGGATGAAGGATACCTGGTACATGCAGCTATCACGGCAATAAGACATTCTCCAAAGCTTCATCACATAAGCTGATTTTTCCATGTGTGGCAGTCTTTTTTCTCTTTTTTCTCTTTTTTTTTTTTTTTCTTTTTTTCTTTTTTTTTTTGGTCAGTGGTGGGGACAACGCTTGTGTGACTACTTAGTGAGTCCAACAATCTGCTCCTCTTTATCTGTTACACCAAATAATCAGCTTATGGTATGACTTCAAAGCCAACGAGATCATGTTAAATCTATGTTGGAATTGTTTTCTTCTGGGTGTCCTACACAAAAACACCCCAAACCATTCGCACCACTGCCATTTACTTATTTGCTTTTTAAATTATTATTATTATTTCAAGATTTTTCCAAAAACTTCTAGACATTTTTCATTTTTATGACATTTCATTTTACAACAGGCAATGAAATCTCATATAGATGCGTATCATCCACACTCTCCACATACAGTTGAACATTATACATAATAAAGCCACATATAGCAATTAAATTCAGTCATTTGGTGGAAAATGGCCAGTTTGTTTTGCTTCTACTTGTTCTGAGAAAAAGACACCCCCCTTCTTCATCTGAATAGGCAAGATTGACATAAAAAAGTACTTCAAGAGCTGAACTCGTCTACTGAACACAAATACAGTGAATTTCTGTATATCTTTAAATGTTTTATATGTCCTAGTCATATATAATTTATTGTGTTGTGAAGCTGAGCTCTTCTTTGAATGAAAATTTTACTGTCAGAGCTTGGGGTACTTTAGTTTGATGATTTAAAACTCCCAATACGCTCGTAGCAAATAGCACTTTTTATTACAGCGTGTTTGTCCAAGAGGTCAACTCTCAGCACAGCAGGACTTTTTCCCACTGTAGAATTAATTCTGATGGCAAGACATCTCTTGTCTTAATTCATCTGGTGCTGAGTGTAGTAGCTTACACAGTCTTAGAGGCTTATTAAAGACTGGACCTGCCATGCACAAGAAAAGAGAAAAAGCTTCACCTTTTCTTATGCAAGCATCCTTTCTAGCAGATTATGCAGCATGTTAAATGCTGCATGTCTGCTTATGCCGCTTTGGTTTTAAGATTCCCATTTATAGTTTTGCTCCAGTATTTCATTTTCTCAGAAATGATGTTGAATTTAAGCTGCGTGGTGATGATAGTAAATTCATTTCTAAGATGAGTAAAAGTGACTAGAATTATGTGCATGTTTCCTGTGAAATATTGTATACGGAGCAGGTCCTAGATTAAAAGACAAGCTTGACTTTAAAGGTAATGTGATTAATTTCCTCAGCCAAAACCAGCTAGATAGTTTTCATGCTTATGTTGATATAGTATAGGTGCCCTATTACACTCACTTACACTCTCCATCCCTTCACCATTAGCCCCTGCTGAGCCTATTAAGTTGGTATCAAGTCAACTTGTCCCTTAGTGATAGTACACAAACTCTCAGAGTGCTGCAGAATTCTGCATCTGTCCTCTTACCTGTCACTTCAGCCTCCTTTTACTGATGTTAAAAGAAATCTTTACTGTCAGTCATATAACCAATTCACTTTGTTCACAGGCTGTGACAACCTTGTTGTGTTTCTCCCACCACACAACCGACTTCTGTGAATTAGTATTCTCAAAATTTAGACTAGCTCATTAGTGTGAATAAATTTGAAAGGCTGCTGTTCAAAACTTTTTTTTTTTTTTTTTTTTTAATGTAGCTTGGCTTTCTTTGGATATAATTTAGGTAACTTTAGGAAAAAAAAAAAAAAAAAAAAACCCTCAGCTCCCAGGTATTCACTTTATGATTTCAGAGCCTAAGGGTCTTTCAGTTGCTTCGTTTGAGATACTAAATTAAATCTTCTAAGTTCCCTATTCCTGTTTTACTTTTATTTACTTATTTATTTGTTTGTTTGTTTATCTTTCATGTAATTGAAAGACTGTCTACTTTTCCTGAAAAGCAAACAGAAATTCAAGTTCCTATCTTATTCATCTTCATGGCTGACCATGTCCAACTGACCAGCTTGTTACCACAACATCACTGAAAGTTTAATGTAGCCTTTCTTCCTCTAATAATTCCATCTAATCCTACCAGCCTTTTTCTTCCTCTAATAATGACATCTAATTCTACCTGCCTTCTTGGTAAATACGAATGTCACTGAACTCTGAACCAATCTGATTAAATCTAAATTCTTCAGAACTGGGTAAAGAAATCACCACTTTTGTTCTTGTTATTAAAGTTCAAATAGCTATAGCATTTAGTTCACAACATTTGTGAAATCATGAAGATATTGTCGCTCCATCGTGTCATGATACACAGAGTACTGAGAGTCCAGTGTTGAGTGCCCTGCTCTCATTCTAACCTCTGTCTGAGTGCTACCTTTAAGGAAATTCTTTACTACAGGCAGTAAGCAGATATGAGGACACTATTTTGAATTGTGCTGGCTTTCCAGGACATTACTGTTAGGAAACCATAAAGGGCAGAAAAGTGATTTTCCAGAAGCAGTAAGCTATAGAATAATTTATGCCAGTAGAGTACCTTTCACAGGAGAATTTCAATGTTTTATAAACAAATTAAATATTGAAGTAAACAATAATGACACAGAGATGAAAAACAGAATACAGGGGAACAAGTATTTTCCATTGAAGTTTCTTAGTTGATGTTGAAATTCCACAGTTTTCATTGGAATATGAGTTACCCTGACAATAAAAAAATCCAACTCAGAATTGGGAGAGGTTAAATAATTTACCCAAGGTTACATCAGTAGCACCTGAGCCCCAGAATGGAGAAAAAAGGTCCTCGAAGTTTTGCCAAAAAGGAGCTCATAATGTCTCTACTATTAGCTATAAAATAAAAATATAAAAATGTCT